ATTCGTGAGATTGTCTACAAACTTTGTAAACATAAGAGATCAATTCATCTTCAAAAATACATCGATGCATAAGAAAAATGCAGTAATAAGTGTTTTAGAAAGTTGTTATAAAAAACAACTCTATCAGTAATAATAGAAAGTCCAATGTTGTTACTTAAGGGTTTTGAGGGTCGCTGAACTTCTGAACACGAATATGCAGTTGGCAACGGCCTGCAAGGCACCTTCCTGCAGCCCAGGCGACAGGTGAGTCTACAGAAATTATGTTTTAAATTCATTAAATATCAATTGAAATTAATTACTCGGGGGTTTTGAGGGTCGTGGAACACAAATATGCAGTCGGCATACAATGAAGGTTTAGATGAAAACTATTTAGAAAAGATTTTCTAAAACAATTATTTTTAAAAAAATATGCTTCAAATAGATATATATAAAAAGAATATTAAATATCAAATAAACAGTGCATTCAAACAATTTCATTAATTAAAGCAATATCTTTAGAAAAACCTTAATCAATATCATTTATCAAATTATTAATCATTGGGCCCAAGGTACCTCAGAAACCGTCACCGACTGCATATTCCTATTCAAGGACCCTCAAAACAAATTAATTTTCAGTGAATTTCAAACATAGCTCTTGGTGACGAATGTATGACGGTCGCCCTGTGTCCCAGCTACCTCGGAGGCCGTCTCCGATTACATATTCGTATTCATCGACCTTTAATACTCCCGAGAAACAAAAGTGGACTTATTTCTATGGTTTTTATAACAACTTTGTAATGCACTTATAAGACTGCATATTTCTTATGTACCGGTGCTTTTATTAAGATGAATTAATCTCTTACGTTCACAAAGTTTGTTGACGATCTCTCGCATCTCTACCCGAATTACTGCACAAAAATTACAAGCCAGTTCAAAATATCAACATTCACATATGAGAGGGAGGCAGGACTCTACGAAAACACTGACTTGATTTTTTCTCATGTGCCTCGATATACAGCAAGGGATGAACCTCTACATAGATTATAAATCAATTAACGAGCGGAGTCTTGCCACTGCGTAGCCAAAAGTTAAAGAGTTCATGAGATTATGAACTATCTCTACTGAAAAATTAATGTCAAAAAGTTTCACGTTCGATTTTCTTTCATTGCAGCTAATCATATTCTCAAATAAAATGCGTAAGATAAAGACACAATAAGTTAGGCATAACAAAAAGAAAGAGACTCTAAAAAATCTTTAATTGACAAATGTCTGGTTCGAGCAATTGGTTAAGTGATAACCTTGACAATATGAATAATGAAATGCAATGTTTTGTATTTGTTTGGCTTCACAACCCAAAAACAATATGGACTATATTTGAGAAAGAAACAGAAAATGGAAATTTGGAATAAGCCCCACAATATTTTTGAGGTTTCTGCTTCTAATTTAATACATACTGTTTGTAATTTCGAAAACAAATTAAACAGTGCGGTTCCACTAAGTGGCTATCTCATACAAATGCTATGAGGGTGTTAACTAAGGCAGCTTAGAGGGTTAGTTAGCAATAATTAAATAGCTTGCTTTTCTCCATCGTTGCGTCAATTTACTTGAATAAATTTAAATATATTTATGCTCCATCTGAGTATAACACCTATTCAAAGACAATACAATTAAAGTAGTAACATTGTTTAGAAAAAACACACGAATTCAGAACATAAAATTAACATAAAAATTATGTTCTTCTTATGGTAACATAAATCTTTCTTTACAAATGACAAGTTAGTGGTTTAGTCAGTCATATTAATCATTTTCAAAGTTTTTATTTGATATGCGTGTTTAATGCCTGGAATATAATATGCAATAGACAGTGGAGTACCTAATTTCACGAATTCGGGTTGGAGGTGGTGAGTTTTGTTAAAATTATGGACTCAATTTGAAGTTGAATTGTCCACGCTTATTCAATGTGCCTCAAATCAGTTTCAGTTGGAATATATATTTATCATCGCACTATTTTTGAATTAGCAATATTGTTATTATTATGGCAATAAGTTATTATCAATTGTTTTACTATTAACATAAATAAAGTTGAGAATTGTTAAATATACAGAATATGCAATTTTACCTGAAATCGTATATGGATCCGTAAACTTTCCTCATACATCGCAGAAACCGAACTAAGTTATCTTTTCTGCATATAGCAGAGCCCTTAGGAATATGATTTATGTACTGAAAATAAACGAATCCCATTTAAAAACATGTTGAATAAAACCTAAAATCCATGTTAAATACCTAATGCGATTTAACATGATTTCGGTGGAATCATACGAGGTATGTAAATTATGTAATAAGACTAAACTAACGTCTTTAAATATTTCTATTTAATTAAACAGGATCATGGGTATTGGGAAAACAACCTGAATTAGTTTTTCAATTTGTTTTCCCAATACCCATGATCCTGTTCAATTACTGTATAAGGGAGGGAATTTCATCATGATTTCTATTTAATTCTAATTGCAATGATTTATAATGACCCAAAATGACGTTCCTTGAGATGGATTTTCAATTTTGGAAAAATGAAAAAGTTGGAATATTAATGTGAAAATTCATATTCGATTTTCCATCCACTACAAAATTCCTCGGGTTAATGAGAAAAAATATTTTTGTTGCTGTTGTCAGTTTGTAGTGAATGGAAAATCGAAAATGAATTTTCACATTAATATTGCATATTAACCACTATTAGTAATTAAAAATGTCATAGTGTTTCATATAAAAAGTTAGGAACGTTAAACCTAGCCGCAGACCTATTATTAATGAAAATTGGCATGTGACAAGGCGCATTGTCATAAAGCAGGATCTAATTGCTCTTGACGCTTCCATGCATAACCTTTTTTTGGAGTTTAAGAACCTTTTGAACAGTATGTTGGTTGAGCCTTGACTGTTTGCCTTTGAGGTAGACACACTTATTGTGAACGATTTCTTGTCTGACAAAGAAGCAAATCAACATGCTTTCTATCTTTAATTTGATCATTTTTCCTTTTTTGGACGTTGGAGAGGCTGTAGTCTGTCATTCCATAGTCTGGTGATTGTTTTCTGGATTATACATACTTAAACACGTACCCCTCGTTCCCAAAAAGTGACCATTTTCAATCGATTTTAAAAAAGTCAAGACACCTCTCCCCCCTACATTTTAAAGCAAATCTTTCTCATCCGCAAGTCATTGGTCAAAACTTGATAAACGGTTATGTGACCCAAATTCGAACGAATCTTCGTCGATCATTCTGATCGTCAAACGACTATCTAATAAGCATATACAGAATCGAAGATTGTATCGACATTTTCATCGTTTCTTACTGCAATCGAAGACCTTCCACCGCATGACGCGATTCTCTTCCTTTTGAAAATGCCTTGTACCACCGAAGAACTTGGGCTCTTCGTAAAACATTGTCTCTGTTGGTTTACTGCATTAACTAAAGTTTCTGTTGCACTGAGCCCATGCCTGAAGCAAAACCTGGTAGCACACCATTGCTCAAAATTAATGTCATTTATTTTTGGAAGCACTACGAAAATCGATTTCATACTGAACGCATATTACGTGCCCACCTATCGACCCTCCACGCCACGTTGGCAGCCTCATTATCTCATTTACACACCTCGTATTGATTGTCTAGTAAAATTTGTTTGTAAATAATTTTCGATTACTATTATAATCTTTGCTTTTTACGGAATGTATAAATATTAAATTCTTTTTATAACGATATAATGTCACATAACAAAACTTATATAGATATGGATGTTAAAACATGGCTTTAAATCATCTACCCTTTTGTGGGTATAAGTGCGGCTTATCGGTTTCTGATCGCCTAATATTAAGTGATTGTTCATTAATATTATACTCTCTGCCATTTTCATAGAACGAAGGCAAAGGAAAATACAATTGGCGCTCACATATCAGCAGACGGGTTACTCTAATAACAAGCCTTTAAATCGGACACGTCTTCATCATAATGGCTTTATCTCAATTGTAATCGAATAGAGAAAGCGAAGTAAAAGAAAAATGTTGGTATTGCCGTATATTTAAACACCTTCTTGCACTATTACAAATTTTATTTGACTATGTGCTGTCTGATTAACACTTCTAAGATTAAATAGTTATGAACACTTTGTTACTTCTTCGTTCGTTCTTTTTCGCTTTGTATCGCCTCGAACTCGTTCTCGTACTAACTACTACCTACTCTCGCGACAACTATTTATAGAGGTTGAGCATATTCCAGAATGGTTCTGTATATGCCTTCTAGAATCATGGTCTTCTTTGCCACCATGTATTTTGGGTTGTTTACATACATGTGACAGTATGTAAGGAGAAAAAATAGAGGAAAAGTGAATATAAAGATAGAAGACGAAAAATAAGCAGAAGCCACTGATTTTCGGTATCTAGAAACTAGGATAATTCAAGATAAAAGGAGCAGTACAGATATAAAACAAATGATAGCATAGGATCGAGTCACTTTTAACAAAAAGAAGCCACTTCTGTGCTCGGAAACGGTTAGTTTTGACAATCGAATAAGATTTTTAAAGGTGTACGTCTTTGAAATGAGGTGTTGTATGAGAATGATGAGGATACCGTGGATACAGGTAACCTTCTTTGCCATGAAAGGCTAGTTAAAGACAAAAACAGGAGCGCAGAGGACTATAGGTAGATCTAGATTACATTACTGTTCACAAATACTTAAGGATGTGGGATGTTCTAGTTTTAGGGAAATATAGGATTCATTTAAAAAATCCACGTCGGATCTGTTTCTAAAATCCATGAGGGATCTGTTTCAAAGATCCATGCTGGACCCATTCAACAGATCCATTCCCGATCCAGCCAAAAGATCCAGACCGGATCCGTTTAAAGGATCAGGATTATTTTTTTCTTTTTATTAATTTGGCATAAATTAATTAAATCAGTATTACCATTTTACCTTAATTTTATTAATGAACTCAAGTACACTTTAAATATGTTCCAGACAGTAAGTTTAATAACTATTTATTATTTTTATTTTCCTTATTCCAATTTTTGACATTATTTATGATTCTACCAATGGCATCATAAAATTCTTTAAACGTGATTCCATGGTCTTGATTTGTTTATTATTTGACGAACAATATTACATACAGAATAAATCAGGTAAAAAATAAAGTTCTGTATTATGATC